GTGCGTGCGTGCGTGCGTGCGTGCGTGCGTGCGTGCGTGCGTGCGTGATGAAATGTATCTGATTATGTATGTATATGCAAATATTTCATTTCAATTTAAAATATATATCTCGTATACCTACTATATGTAACTTTTTGTTTGCCGCTATGTGCGTTATGCATTTATCTATCTATTTTGCTGGATCTAAAAATCAATCGAATATTCCTAGATTACATTACGTATAGTTCATGCATATATTAGTGTACATCTATAGAAAGTAGCCAGAATTTAAATGTCAAAACTTCGGGAGCGTGTCGATAACTCTGATCGAGGAAATACTATGAAAAATTATTTTATATAGGAAATTACCTAGAGAATATAAAGCTGTATTTTCAGTCGAAATTATGATGTGAAACGAGCAATTCTTATGAATTTTTGACAGACCGTATGTGCTTCGACAATAAATATTGGAATGTAAAGCCTAATATTTTTTTTTTAGTGAATAATCTTTTTGAAACTATTTTTTAAAAAGATTATTAGAATTTTTTTTTATTTGTTGAATTGAATTTTTATTGATAGTTGAGTAAGTTATCTTTGCACATTTATTTAACTATATTCAGAGCATGGACAATCGGAATAATTGGTATCAATATTTTGGCAAATGTTCATCTGATCCTTATTAACAAATATATAAGATCTTCAAAATTTACGATTTGTTTTATCAAGTTAATATGGCCTTTGGCCAGTTTGACTTAGAGTTGGACTAGAATTAATCTGAATCACGTGTATTTACATCACGTGAACTGGTTGTGACTCATGCAGTGCTTTCTATCAGGAAATCTTCCAGTGGATGAGGTGTCCATTTTCCAAGTTCACACACTATCAAACAAAATTCCTGCATATTTTGTTTTGTTTTTATGGAGAATAATTATTATCAAAGATTTATTTTCGTTTGAGGAGTACTTGAAACAGAATTTATACGAAATAGCTACATAAATATAGATTACCAGAATTAGCACATGCGCAACGCATTATTTTTAACGTCCAGATGCGCGTGACAAGACTTACTGCTCAACATAAACTTGGAGCATCCATCTTATAAATTATGTTATTTTAAATGAATAATGTAGTTAAGATTCTTATTTTTTGCAACTATATCGTATTATAATATTAAAAAAAGGATTAACGTAAAAATATTTTGCATTATATATAAAATAAATTGTAATTTTTTCATATGCTACATTGCACATTGCAGTTTGATAAAATATATTACAGATTTTTTTTGTTTGTGAATTAAGAATTAATTAAACCTAAAATAATCGATAAAGCTTATTTTTGTTGAAAATGTATGATACATATTCATTGAATATTGAAGCGTATTTAATTAATGAATATAATAAAAAGAAATTGTTATTATATCAGTATATATATATATATATGTTTTTTTATCAATTTATTATCTCGAAAAACTACCCGACACAACAAATAATAAATATACTTATTTATTTACTTTTTTTTACATATATTATAAAAAGAGTTTTAAATGGTTTTCTGCTTTCTCTATCGTATTTCAATAGAGTTGTATATAGGAGTACCCAGATAGCCCATAAACGATCGTTATAAATTCAAAAAAGGATTTACTTTTTAACATCCTTTTTGAATTTGCGTTATATGTTTGAAATAAATTCGAAAAAAATCACTACCCGCAAGCAACGTAGTACCGGTGACAAATGAGGCGACGGAGTTCAATTTTTTAAAGACGCGAATTATATGTATAGAATAGATTAATAGAATAATGGTTCAAACATAATAAAAGGAATAAAGAATAAAGAACAAAAAATAACAGATTTTAACTTGCCAAAAACTAAATACACTGAAATACGCAGTTTTGATGAAGTAAAATTTGTTATTCCTTGTACCTTATTTTTTATTCCTTTCATTGTGTCTGAACTCTAATGAGATTTTTTATGTTTTGGTAAAATTTTTTGAAGGCGAGTCTATAAATATAGCTCCTATACTAAAAATAAGACCATTGTATGCGTACCAGTATTGAAAATATATAATGTAAACTGTATATTCTTAGTAATAATAGTAGTGTGAAGGGAATATAAAAAGATATAGATATTGAGTGGTATCGTTAAGATCAGGTCGGTAAAAGGCTCATTTTTTGTAAAATCATATCTTTTTTAATATTATGTATTGTATATTTTTCTTAAGAGAGGAATATAATAAGTGATTTTATAATTTTTTTTTTAAATTAGAAATAAAGAGTCTATCTACTCGTATATGATTTGATCAATTTAGGTTTTTATAAAAATCATAATTTTATTAAACATTATTAGCAAAATTATAAAATTGATTTTTTAAATTATTAAAATAAAAAAAGATATTTGAAGGAATCAATTAAAGTATCAATTAAAGTGTAGCTAATTATATGAGAAAAAGAATGTTTAAAAATAATTAAAAAGGAAAAGGGCTACAAGCCAAAAAAAATATGTTGATTCAATGATAAAAAAAGAATAAATAAAAGATAAATAATTTTACCTTATAATTTCACAACTATATCATCTTTCTTAATAGAATGTCAAGATATTTTTTTAGTTATATTTCTGTTAAAAATTCATAAAATAAATTGGAATGCTATTACGAATTCTGATTTTATTTCGTAGGTCTTGGGCAAAGGCAGTTTTGGTAAAGTATTGCTGGCCGAGTTACGTGGCACAGAATGTGTGTACGCAGTTAAATGTTTAAAGAAAGACGTAGTTCTCGAGGATGACGATGTCGAATGCACGTTAATCGAGAGAAAAGTCCTCACGCTGGCAACTAGACATCCGTATCTTTGTCACTTGTTTTGTACTTTCCAGACTGATTCGCATCTCTTTTTTGTTATGGAATACCTCAATGGGGGTGATCTAATGTTCCACATACAGAAGTCCGGCCGATTCTCTGAGGTGCGTGCGCGTTTTTATGCCGCCGAGATCTGGTCTGGATTGAATTTCCTGCATAAGAAGGGTATTGTTTACCGTGATCTGAAGCTCGACAATGTCCTACTTGATTTCGAGGGTCATATTAGAATCGCAGACTTTGGCATGTGTAAACTTCAAATCTTCTTAGACAGAACGGCCGATACGTTCTGTGGTACGCCAGATTACATGGCACCAGAGGTAATTATATCATAATTATCTTTAAATTTATTTATATTTTCACTCTGTTTTCGCATATCCTTAATTATTTAATATATAAAATTATTTAATGATTTATTTTTTAAGATAATAAAAGGACTTAAGTATAATCAAGCTGTAGATTGGTGGTCGTACGGTGTTCTGTTATATGAAATGCTAACTGGCCAATCGCCGTTTTCTGGATGCGACGAGGATGAGCTGTTTTGGAGCATTTGTAACGAACGGCCATTTATACCTCGATATTTAAGTCAAGAGGCTACCGATATACTTATCTGTTTATTGGAAAAAGATTCTGGAAAGAGGTTACCTGCTCACGAAATCGCTGTACATACTTTCTTTCAGGTATAAATTGCTACAATCTTTTAAATGATAGTAATGTACCAGGCATAATTTAGCAGTCAAATAATTTTGATTTCATAGCATTTGCCTTGGGATCGATTGGAAAGAAGACAATTAGAACCACCGTTTAAACCCGCACTTGATCACACTTTGGATACGAAATACTTTGATACGGCATTCACGACTGAACGTCCGAGGCTTACGCCAGTGCCTGAGCAGATCTTGACTTCAATGGATCAAGGGGTTTTCCGTGGATTCTCTTACACAAATCCGAATGCGACGGATTGACGTAAAACAGTTGAATGGAAAGCATGAACATTAGTCATGAACGGTATCCGTTATTTCCAATTTTTTGTGCCATCCGATAACAAGAAAGAAGATCGTATATTCTTATCGGCTAGCATATAAAATCAATGTTCGCTTTATATTTTTGAAGTAGTGACGATATTATATAATGTTAATATATGTGTAAATCGCATCTTAAGAACATATTTGTGTGAACAATATGAATTACAGAGAGAAGATCGTGTAAGACATATAATGGGTGCATCCAGAAGCACGACCGCTCACTGAGCGCTCAATAAGCTTTTTTATCTGATTGGCATATTCCATTAGATCTAAAAATATAAATCAAATAGGTACAAGAGCTCATTGAGCGCTCAGTGAGCGGTCGTGTTTCTGGATGCACTCAATGTCTCTTTTCTCATAATATATAATACATTATAATACAAGATAAGTATATACATATACAGGGTGTCCGGTAATGACTGCATAATCTCTCGTGTGCAGGATTAAACTGATAGAGTGGATTAAACTGAGTCGAAAAATACTCTACCATTTTGCAATTTTCGTAATTTTGTTTTAATTACCCATAAGCAGAATTTCTAAAATCAACGCATCAGATGACTTTGAGACATTTTTAAGAGCTCTTTAACAAACATCTTTAAGACATTTCGTAAAAGACTGAAAATATCTCAAAGTTTTCTTATCAATTTTATCGGCTTATTCGACAATGTTTAAAAATTAATTATTGCGTTAACTATTGCGAAAATTGTAAAATAGAGGATCTTTCAATTCAGTTTCTACTTGCTCATGGAAAATTATGTGGTTATTACCGTACACCCTGTATATGTACGTAAATACATATACTAGGAGTTTCAGAATACATGAAAGAATTTTTATGTGCAGAGAGAACTATATATATATATATATATATATATATGATAAATTAAAATTAAAATATTTCGTAAATAAATATTTAACAATACAAAAATTTGTATTGCTCATTACTTTTAATTATAATTGTGAGATTATTACAATTTGAAATTATATAAATTTAAACGTTATTATAAGTTGAATGATATTTAGATACTGTATTGTCATTTTGTCGTAGTTGATACTTTTATTATTGTTGAATACTATACTTACTCCCCCCAGATACCCCGAAAGGACGTTCCGGTCGGCGCGTTTCTCCGTGTTGATATTTGTACGAGCGCTACCACTGCGTTGCGCTATTTTTCCTAATGTAATACTTTTGCGTGGGGTTATCTCAATGGCTTGAGTTATTGGTTATTTCCCGCACGCAAAAGCGTTGGTATAGGGCACATTACGTGCACGCGTGATGAAAAATGTAATGTATATTACGTGTAATGTAAAAAAACTCTAGAAATTGTCAAATATCCCAACCCTCTGCTCACTGAGCGGTCGTGCTTCTAGATGCACCCATTGATATTGATCAAGTTCAACTAAAGATATAAGAGAGAAGAACCGTAGAAGACATTAATCTCTATCCTCTTTCCATTCAACAATATAATGGGGGAGAGAATAAGAGAGAGAGGGAGGGGGAGGGGGGGGGGGAGGG